AAATTCCTCAAAAGTCACTTCTTATAAGTCAAAATTATTTTACTATATTGATGTCACAGCTAAGGTAGACTCAGATGTGTTTTGTGTTAGGAAGAAGGTGAACTGGCAGACACATACGAGAAGGATACTAGCAGGACAGCATATTCAATTAAAAATGCATTTCATTTTTCCAAATTGCATCAAAATTTATCTGTTTTTTTAAGAAAAGGCCAAGTTTCCGTGTCAAAATATGAAGTTCCTACTGGGGCTCAAAAACAAGCAAAAAAATACATAATGAGTCATGTACCAAGAGAGGTCAGATAGGCAGGGGAGATGACAGATGAAGCAGAAATGTCCTTGTCACAGTATATTCTGAGATTTTTGGCAGCTACTTACCGACTTTGATGCCTTTGGGAACCTCCCTCATTGACACAACAAAGTTAATGCAATGTTTGCTAAATCTGTCCTATTAATTTGGGAACCAACATGGCCCAGGGCACCCAGGAGGCCGGGGAGAGGCAGTGAGAAGCGACAACAATATCACTTTCCCATCTTGCCTCAGATTCCAACTTGCTACCTACCTACTCCCCTCTACAAAAATTCTAAATACTTTCTCTGAATGCAGAATTTTCTTGCTTTTTAAGGGTACAATGACTTTTAAAGCTAGCTATATGTTACATTTAACACTCTTGTTTCCTTCTACTTATTTACCTTCCTTTCTTTTCACCTCTACATTTCTACTGTTAACATTTTTCTTACTCTTCATTTGTTAAATAAAGTACAAATTCAGTATTTACTTCTCCATTTTTTAAATATAGTCCTTAAAAATTAGTCCTCAATTCCTGGCTTCAGACTATACTGGAGTTACTGATAATACTCATTTATAGTACATAAGAAATCAGAACATTCATTTAGTTTAAAAAATACCATAGCATATATCAAAAGTTTAAAAAATGAGGTACATCAAATACTCTGGTAATATTGGTAAGCAAGCTTTCTATAACTCACACCTCAGAATAGCACCTGCCAGTGGTAGCGATGGGATATGGTCAATAACAGGTCATAATAACATCCGGAGATCAACTGACATTGCTCAGTCACTTCAATCACATCTGACTCTTTATGACCCCTTTTGGATTGTTTTTTTTTTCGGGGGGCAATTGGGGTTGACTTGCCCAGGGTCACACAGCTAGTAAGTGTCAAGTGTTTGGTCTGAGGATGAATTTGAACTCAGGTCCTCCTGACTTCAGGGCTGGTGCTCTATCCACTGTGCCACCTACCTGCCCCTTGGAGTTTTCTTGGCAAAGACACTGGAGTGTTTTGCCATCTCCTTCTCCAACTCATTTTACAGATGAGGAAACCGAGGCAAACAAGATTAAGTGACTTGCCCAGGGTCACACAGCAAGTACTTATCTGACGCCAGATTTGAACTCAGGAAGATGAGTCTTCTTGATTCTAGGCCCACTCTACCACCCAAATGCCCCTTCCAAAATACTGTTTGACTGTTCTTTCTCCTAGTATTGAAAAGGCAGTTAACTGATGAAACTTTGGAGTGAGGCAGAGAGACCAGCATCAGGCTATACTTGGAGTACGATGTTCAGTTCTAGGTGCCACATTTAAGGAAAAACTGATAAGCTAGAGTGTATCAAGAGGAGAACAAGTGGGAGGGTGAAAGGCTTTGAGATTCTGTCATGTGTAAATTGATTAAAAGATCCTTGACGATTCAGTCTGAAGTGAAAAGGCTTTGAGGTCAGTTTTCAAGTATTTGAAGGGCAATCACATAAGAGAGGGATTAGACATTTTCTTCTTGGCCTCAGGCAGCAAAATGAGAATCCAGAGGCTGTCATGTCAAAGAAGTAAAATAAGGCCTGATGCCATGAAAACTTCCTAACAAGTCAATCTCTCTGAAAAAATGAAAAGGATTGCCTCATGCCAGATTCCCTTCACTGGAGGTCTTTGCACAAAGACTGGATGGGGACCAGACAACTACTTATCAGGCATGTTTTAGAGAAGACTTTTGTTCGAATACAAATAGGCCTTTAAGGCCAAAAGTTGGATCCAAATCACTGTTTTATACCAAGGGAAAAAGAATGGAAAGGCATGGGATTTACTGCATGTGTTGTGACTTTAAACCCTGTAGAGTTCTTCTCCCTTTTCAAAATTCCTTATCTTACTGTTCCAATCAGCAGGACACTAGATTTTCAATAATATGTTAGTGACAAATACAGAGACTTGTGAAATGTAGACTTGGAAGAGATTATCTACGTGAAAAGACTAAGAGGGGCAGCTAGGTAGCGCAATGGATAGAACACTGGCCCTGGAGTCAGAAGGACCTGAGTTCAAATGCAGACTCAGACACATAACACTCACTTGCTGTGTGACCCTAGGCAAGTCACTTAACCCCCCTTCCTTAAAAAAAAAAAGACTGAGACAGTTTAAAATGACTAGTGCAAGATCACCCTTCTAGTCAGTAGGAGAGCTAAGAGTTCATTTTCTTTGTGCCTGCCCCAATGGGCCAAATAAACCCCTCCAGACACTGGCTTGGTGACATTTGAAAACTGATGGCTTTTCTATTAAAACCCAACAATCTCTTTAAAGGAGGAATGAGGAATCTGTTAAGTGTTCTCTACTGTTGGAGGACAAATCTTGTACTGGTAGGTGTCATTCAGGAGAAAATAATACATCATTGAAAATTTTTCATTTAAAAAAAAACAGTTAAGTGTTTTTCCTTTCATGATTCAGTGTCAGCAAAAATGAATGAAATTCATTTTAATGATAAAAAGAATCAGATTTAAAGGGAAAACATCTATTAATATAGCTCAGGGTTAAGAAAAAACATAAATCATGTTATTACTTTTCTCTAAAGACATGAGTTGTGGTCTCAGAACTTGTGTTACAGACTTATTCATCATAACTTTTTAATAGATGTAAATATGACATGCCAGTTTGCTTTTCACTTTCAAACACGTTTTTGATAAAATATGACCTACATATCTATTTATTTCAGGGACTTGAAAATAAATTCTTTATTCATCAACCATAGACTTGTAGGATTTTAGAATTGCAGACTGACTGTATGTGAGATATATACTCTCCTTATTTTGACTGAAGTACTGAATAAGGAAGACTGGGGTCTGAAGTTTCTCTTCTGGTAATAATGAGAACAGCACCCAGGGAGCTGGAAACATGCAGATAATACAGATAGCTTTTAACAGGTAAATTTCCTGAATTTGAAATTTATGTAATTGACTGAGTAAGGTTCAGTTTAATCTCATATAACCTGAAGGCTAAAATTCAAGAATTTTCAAGTTGTCGTGTCAAATAGGAACACTTACTAGTTTAATGTGATATAGCTCTATTACTAAGATAAACACCTGGACAAAAATAGCAGGAAGGGGAAATCTGTCTTCTGCAGTCGGAATGAAGCATCAGTAATTCCTGGTCTATGAGAAGGAAGGAGGAAAAGCCCAGAGCCAAAAAATTATAGAAAGTATTCCCAGCAGGCATTGTATTGTTGGTGTTCTATAATACTGGAGCACAGCAATGAATATCATTAACTCAATGCCATCCCCATCAAAAGTTATCAGTTTGGACTATAAAAATTAACATAGTAAAGTTCCAATAAATTCTAGTTGAGTGATGATCACAGGATCATAGATTTTTTGAGCCAGATACCACCTTATATATCATAGATAATATTTCCAACCCCATTATTTTATAGATGAGGGAGGCCCAGAAATATTACCTAACTCATCCAAGGTCTTGCAGGTAGTAACTTGCAAAAGCAGGATTTGCTGAGGTACTCAAAAAGAATGAATTAATTAATTACTGGGAGATTTTTCCCCTGTGGAACAATATTCTTTTTTTGTTTTAATAGTCAAGCAGGATGAGAAAGCATCTATAACTAATCTAAACCAAAAATAACAGATCCAGAAAAGAATAAGTTTAAGTAAAGGAAAACAACAGAAAGCAAGATTTACTTCAAGGAGACTTGCAAATGCTTATTAGAATACATCTATTTCACGTAAAGTTGTTAGACTATACATTACACAAAGTGGTCTTGGCTCAGAAAATCCACTCCAATTTTAATCTTGTCAAAACAGAAGGATAAGGAGAGAGGTAGGTATTGGGAATTTAGGAATAATATGTCAAAAATGAAGAAACAAAATATATTATTAACTTATTTTCATACGAATATGAAAATAAGTTAATTATATATTAAATCATTGTTAAATTGTGATTGAAGTGTATTTTTATAAGCAGAGAAATGAAGTGCTTAAGAATCCTCCTGCAAATACTCTTCTCACAAGAAAAAAAAAGGAAAGAATACCCTGCAGTATGCTGAATTTCACATGGGAAGAGTATGTTTATAAGACCTGAATTGTTTCTATGATAGATGCAAGGTGTTCGCTTGGGTCGCACCATTCACATTCTTTCATCCAGTCAAATTTGTGATGTGGCTTAAAGAGGCATTCTATGGCTGCGGAAACTGACTAAGACTACCCATCTTCTCTCACTTTCTAAAGAGGAAGTATGGTTACTTATACAAACTTACACCCCACATAGTTATTTTAAAATTTTTTGTCTTGCCAAATACACTCTCCAACAAACACCCAAACAAATCCATTTAGATGATTAAATTGTTTAATTTATTATTAACATAAAGGAGAGATGTGTGCTTTAAGTTTGGTAGTATGCTATGAACATTCAACATTGTATTTGGCGAGAGTTAATATGCTATGTTGCATTATTGAAACTGTTGTCATCATTATGTGTACTATTCCTTTGTCTATGATATTCTTGTTTTGCATCACTTCAAGTAGATCTTCACGTGTTTCTTCGAATTCTTCGTCTGTCATTCCTTAACAATATAGAGCTATGCCATTACATTTACATAACAATTTTTTCCAGCCATCATCCAGTTTGGGTAAATATTTTATTATCACAAATGACAATTAGATGCTTTGTGACATTATGACTAGTTATAGTATTTTAATTTTGCAAAGCTGATCATAACTCACCCTTCCTAATTCTTTATCTTCAAGGGCTAGAACTCCAGTACTTTCAGTGAAGAGCTTTACTTTAACTACAGGTCGAGGATGAGTAGTGGTAAAATCTCCTTGGGTACCCCATCTGTAATAAAATAGCAGAGATTTTCTTAAAATAAAGATTTAATCTTGTCTGGTATTTGATTCATGCTCAGAGAAGGCAAAGTTAAACCACATAGCATCTTCTGTGGCTCAAGGAGATTAATTTTCATATTTGTTGTGAACTGACAGATGGCATGATCAAGAAGAAAAAGTAACATTAAGAAAAAAAAACACTTTGAAAAGATCATCATGCAGTTATGGTCTATTAGAAATAAAAATGCATTACTTAATTATGTCAAAGGTATTCAAAAGTGAAAATGAAGGCCTCCAGATGCATAACTCAATTATGATTTAATGCATAGTCCAAACTAACTAAAAGTTTACTTGATGTTCATTAAAAGTAATTTGACTCTCCAGCTGTATGTAGTAAGAATCCATTGAGCAAGCACATAAAGCTGGGCAATGAATAATATTAATTTTAGAAATTTATTAGTAACAAACATTTGCAGGTATTTATCATATCTTCACAAACTAAGAGTAATGGTATGTTCAGCTCAGGTAAAGGTGGTAATTAGAGTTAAGATTCAGCTATTGAGCATTTGCTCGATATTTTTTCCATGTAAGACTAAAAAAAGTTGCTGTTTTATACATAACACAAATCTTCTGGGAAGACCTATGGATCTTTTTTTTTTTTAAGCCAACTGGGGTTAAGTGACTTGGCCAGGGTCACACAGCTAGTAAGTGTCAAGTGTTTGGTCCAAGGCCGGATTTGACCTCAGGTCCTCCTGACTTCAGGGCCGGTGCTCTATCCACCGCACCACCTCGTTGCCCCAAGACCTTAGACTCCTTAACATTTTTTTCCACCTTTTTCTTGGGGCATCCTTAAAAAATATATGTTTTATTCTTTTAAAATATTATTTTGAACTATTTCTATTGCACTGTTTTTTACAAAGTTTTTTTTTTAAATTCTGATAGAAAAGAAAAGATAATGCATTATCAATATATTAACGTCTTGCAGTTAATTTCCCAATATGCTCTGACAGGAATGAAGTAAGTCTGGCGACATCTGGCTTTCCAAATCACTGGAGGAAAATAACATGTTTTCTTGGCATATCTTTTAATTAGTAGCATCTTTCCTTTATTTCACACAAATCTATTTCAGCGTATTTGCAGGCTTGCATGACAGAGATCTAATTGTAAATACATGTCCTAAAAATCACTTCTATCACAAGACAGTTTATCACATATTACTTCTAAGTGTTCAGATCACAAGCTACATGAGAGTCAGCACAGCTTGAAGGGAAGATCATAGATCAAAATACCATGTTTTACAAGAGGAAGTAGAATATACATAAAGAAGATAAAATACATATGAAAAAGTCACCAGGTAAAAAGTTATGAATTTACTATTAGTTTATTAAAATGAATTTTATATCTTCCATGAAAACACTTTGAATCTTTATATTTTGAAAATATGTCTCAGAAATCTTTCCTGTTGCAATTCTAACAAAATGGGACCTACAATTATGTCTACCATGGTACCTTTTTGCAAGTTCTGTCACTTAAGACACAGAACTCATCATAAAACTGAATAAAGTAAATTTTTTACTTCTGTAACTATGTGAATAAGACCACATATTCGGAAAGCAAATCCATTTACCTTTGATAAAAGCAAAGTTAATGATGAGAAAATAGCACTACCCAATTGTGAACTTAGATTGGTGGCAAAAGGAATGAGTAATAAAGTACTGTTTTTGTAATTCTATAACATGAAGATATTCTTGAATAAAAATGGAGATTGCTAACCATAGGCTATGGATGGTAAACAAAATAAATGAGACATGGTGAATAACTTGGTTAAAAATTTAAAGAAGATCTCTATAATAAACTTCTATTAATCTATAACATATAGGTATTTCTACTAGATTCTATTCTGTTACTTCATTATGGGGTAGAGATTACTGTGTTTTGGTTTTTTTTAATTTGTTTTGTTTTGTTTTAAGCTATACCAGTGGAATGCAAGCCACAGTTAGTTATACCAATCTTAAAAAGGCTTTGAGTACAGTTGCAGTGATTAAGCAATTAAAGCTTAATATCATATTAAGACTAAGCAATTAAAACCAAAAACTACAGTAAGATTTTTGGGGCACTTGGCATATCTTTTAACTGCCTAAGTTTAGAGAGGCTCAACACGAGGCTGAACACAATTATTATTAATCATTATCATTATTTTAGACATATTAGGACCATTATACGGCACTGAAGGATTGTGCATTGGTGGTGGGAGTATTTACACTGATGAAATCACAATTATCTCTCTGCAAATAAGTCTCATATAGCTTATTACCCTGATCTCTCCCTTGAGTTCCAGTGCTACATATCCAACTGCATACTGGACATCTTTACCTGTAAATGGCAGCTCAAACTCAGCACATCTCAATTGGTTATCTTCCTGATTAAACGTCATTCTTTTATAAAATTCCCTATTTCTGACCCGTGGCCTTTCCGACCCTGGTTTGAGCCTTGACAACACAATAAAACATAAAACTAGTGAGGTGCTATTGACCACATCGCTCCTGATAGGTTCTGATGTCAGAGTCTCTGGAGAGTAAAGATTTAATTAGACACCAACTCAACTTAATAATCTCACCATTTTATTATATACTTGTTTCTCAGAGGCCAGAGGTACAGTAAGTCTTCAGACACAGAAAAGTGACCCTGATGAACCTCTTTCCTTTTTTCACTGCCAGCACAGAGTAGGCGAAATAGAAAGAAGTAGAAAAATAATCAAAATTTCTACTTCCCTCAACCTGACCCTTGATTTTTTTTTCTCAATTGCGCAAAGTGTTTCCTGAGTCCTCTCTATTTGCCATTTCTTGTCCACTCAGCTCACAGTAGTTCAGAGAGATGCAGATTTTCAGAAATAAAAAAAATAAAGTACATGGATTCATCCCAGGCTTTGAGTATAGTCCCAACAATAGAGAATCATCTAAAGACTAACATTTAAATTGGGAAAAATTAAATATGACATTTCTTTAGAGCAACTGAGAATTTATAACCATCACCAGAAGGAATCTTCAAGTCAACAGATATAAGGTAAAATGAATAGAATAAACAAGGAAAGATTCACTTAGACACCAGATCAACTTAAACACTGAGCTTTTTATTGCTGTCTGTTGCCAGCCCTCAAACCAGACTCAACAAGGCCATACATGCTAGCCATAAGGAATAGCTGCCTTCATCCAGACCTCTTTAATCCAACCACATTATGAAGCCTTTGAACATCCCCTAGACCTGCAATGACTTGGCCCTAATCTGCACTTGGTAATGAGAATGAATGCAGATTCATCCAGTGAAAGTTATGTCATAAAATTGTTATATTATGCTGAATTTCAGGAATTTGATTTACTTGACTATATGTATTTGCAATGGGTTTTGTTTTTCTTGCCTTCTCAATGTGGGGAGTGGGGATGAGAGAGAAAGAGAATTTGAAAGTTAAAATAACATTAATATTAAAATATTTGGATGTATTTAAGTTATTTTTAATAAAACAATTTCTCTAAAAAAAAAAAGTCTCTGTCCTTAAGGAGTTCACAGTCTAGTAGGAACACTGAGATGCATTGCCAAGTCTTGCACTTTCTATTTTCACATGTCTTCATATCTTCCCTTCTCTCCAATCACATAGCTGCCCCCTCCATGCAGGCCTTCATCATCCCATGCCTGGACTAAGGAAATAGCCTTCTTGTTGGTCTCCCTGCCCAAATCTCTCCTCACTCACATCCATCCTGCATTCTGCTGCTAAAGTGATACTCCTGAAGGGCAGATATGATTACTTCACGCTACTATTCAGCAAGTTTCAGCAGCTCCCTATTATTTCCAGGATCAAACATGAAATGAAAGGCATTTTAAAGCCTTTTAACTAGGGCCCCTTCCTGCTCTTCTAGTATAAAATCCTCCAAACCTGACCTTTTCCAGCCTTTCCAGTTTTCATATACTCTACATGTCCACCACAATCCAACAACACCAGCCTTCTTCTTGCTCCTTGAACATGACAGTCCTGGATTCTGAAGCTTTTCACTGGCTGTTCTCCATGTCTAGAATGCTCTCACTCCCCACTGCCACCTCTTGACTTCACTAGTTTTCCTCAAAACTCAGCTCAAACCTCATCTTCTCCAAGAAGTCGTTTTCAATTTCTCCCACTCCCCACCCCATTAGTATCTTTTGAGAATAACTCCCATTTTCACTGTCTATAATGTGTGTGTGTGTGTGTGTGTGTTGTGTGTGTGTGTGTGTGTGTGTGGTGGCCTGAATGCTGTTTCCAGTTGAATGTGTTTCTTGAGGTTGTTGTTCAGTTGTTTCAGTTGTGTTTTACTCTTGGTGACTCCATTTGGGGTTATCTTGGCAAAGATACTGGAGTGCTTCGCCATTTCTTTCTCCAGCTCAATTTATAGATGAGGAAACTGAGGCAAACAAGATTAAGTGACTTGCTCAGGGTCACACAGCTAGTTAGTGTTCCAGATTTGAACTCAGGTTTTCCTGACTCCAGGCTTGGACCTCTATCCACTGTGCCACCTAGGTGCCCATTTCTTGAGGGTAGGAACAATATTTTTTTGGTCAGTCATCAAGTATTTATTTAGCAACTACTATGAAATCTAAAATCATATTTCTTACTCTAATTTTATTAGGATTGCCGTCATTTGATAGGATAGCTTTATTTGTTTTTTTAAAAAATATTTAAATTTTATTTTAAACATTGTTATCTTTTTAACTTTCGAGTTCCAAATTTTTCCCTCCCTCCCAGGCCTTCTCCCACCCACTGAGAAGGCAAGCAACATAACATTAATCATACATGTGAAATCATGTAGGATGTATTTCCATACTAACCATATTTCAAAAAAGCAAGAAAAACAAAGTGAGAAAATTATACTTCAATTTGCAGAGTTCATCAGTTCTCTCTCAGGAGGGTAGATAGCATATTTCATCATCAGTCCTTTGGAACGATCTTGGATCACTGTATCGATCAGAGTACCCAAGTCATTCAAA